GGCCAATTTTGGCTCAAGAACTCCTCAGTTGCCATGCTGGACCTCCCCTGGGCTGCAGAGGCTCTTGAATGCTCTTGTCCATCCTTCCTCCCTCTCTCCATTACTGGGGACCAGATGCACAGAGTGCCTGCTGGCTGCGCTAGCCCCCGGAAGGACTCCCATTTTCTCTCACACATGCATTTTGTGCATAATGAAATCCATGCACAAAATCCCGTCTTGGTGCCTGCTTCTGGGAGGAACTGGAATCACACAGGGCGATTGTACCTCATGCTGAGCACCAAGTGCAACAATGAAGGCAAAGAGTTTATTAGAGTGACGGGCACAAAGGAAGTGCCCAGTAAGTGGTAGGACATCCTGTTACCTTCAGCACCACCACATCTCGTTACCTTCATCATCACATGGCCATTTTGCTTCTTTGCTGGCTTCAGGCACAGCGAGCTCCAGCAGCATCCCAGGTCACACAGCAACTTTGTATTAGAGTGAGAGCCACTATGGCTCCAGAGGAGAAGGAATGGATTAATTAAAACACCCTTTAAAAACGTATCCAATTAAAGCAAAAGGCACAAACCAAGTCCTTTTTCAGCCAATGAAATGTGCAACCAACTTTGCTAAGGCAACCAACTCTATTTTCAGTCCATTATACAAAAGATTTATAATATTTGAAGGTTCCTGCCAGTGCCCCTGATGTCTACACATATATAGTCAAGCCTCGTTTCTCAAACTTCTCCCATCTCAAACAATTTGATTTTTGACCAAGTTGTTCACTGACAAAAATGTCTTCCTTGTTGACCAAAACTTGAGTTTTCCACCTGACAGCCCTTTCATGCTGATATCCAACATGAAGAAAAGCTTCTATAATGCAACAAGCAAAGGGAGAGAATGTGTTTGTTGCTCATGAAATTGAGGATTAGCACAATTTTAAAACAGAAAGAGGCCATCAAGAGTGTTAATGTTGCAAAGGGTGTGAAAGTGCTCGCAAAACAGCAATCGCTGGCAATTGAATAAGTGGAAAAACTGTTGTTTGTATAAAGGAAAAGCAGTTAGCTGATGATAGCATTTTGTAGGCAGTGATATATGAAAAAATTCCTTTAAGGGTGATAGAAGGTAGTTCTATAAATTTAAGAAAATAAATGTTTATTTATAAATTAATCAGTACATTAGACATGTGCTCTGACAGGGAATCATTTGGTGGTCTGGAACAGATTATTTCAATTTACATTATTTCTAATGGGGAAAAAATTATTCCGTTTTCAAACAAATCACTTCTAAATCAGCCTTCCAGAATAAATTAAGTTCGAGAAATGAAGTTCCACTGTACTGCAGTCATTAAACCAGGGCACCTCATTTGCTGTTCCTGAAAACCCTGTGGGAGTTAAAAAAGAATTGGCCATTATTATTCATATTTTGCAGATAAGAAAACAGAGAAACTAAGGGGTGGTTTCAAGGTCACCCAAATGCTCACAGGTTTGGGACTGGAACTCTGGTTTTTGCTCCTGGTGCTTTGGAAACTCCGGGTTTGGTGGATTCTGTTCTAACTCTGTTCCCAGGGACAGTCTCTTAGCAAACTTGCACCATGAACTGGCCTGGAAAGACCTTTCTCAAGCCCACTTCTGCCCAGCTTCGGGGTCCTAGAAACCCTGGAACCATCCGTGATGCAGGAGTCAGTGAAGGGGACCCAGCAGCTGGCCTCCATGCTTAGGCCCATCATTTCTCATCCAGCGGGGCTCCATTCTGACAGTTGCTACCTGAGGCTGTGGACTGTTCCTTAAGGAGATTGTCACTCCCTCCACGCCCATGGCGGGAGGGATGGTGACTTAGTCCCACCACCATACAGCTCCTCTTGCCCATTTAGTACTAAATGAATGCTTGTTACAAAGGATGGTGGTGATTCTGATAGAGCTTTGTTTATAGTTTGAAGGAATTATCATCAATAACAACAACAGAAAAGATATATTTGCTCTGTGCTAGGCATTGTGCCAAGATATGGAGTTCTAACAATTGAAAAACATGCTTTCTGACTCCAAGGAGCCTACAGGCTCTTGGAGGGGACAGACAGGTCACGTCTGCCTGGAGAGTCCAGCCCGACTTCACAGAGAAGGCAGCTCTGAGCTGAGACTGAGGAGGATGGGAGCTTCCCAGGCAGATGAGGGTGGAACGGGGCTATTGGCCTAGGGAATGTCCAAGAAGGCGTGAACAGTGATCTGCTCTGTTGGAGAACCTTCTGTCCAGTCTTGTTGGAATGCCAACTTGTTTTTCACTCAACACCACTCATCCACATTGTATGTATAGTTTGGATATGCCAACATTTCTTCCTTCCCACCATTCTCCATTCATTTCATCAGCCATCACTGATTGGCCTCCCTTTGCCTGCCAGGCACTGTGCAGGACACTGGGGTGCAAAGGTGAAGGGGTAAACATGGTGCCTGCCTTCCTGGAGCTCTAAGTCAAATGACGGGTAGACAGGCTCTACCAACACCAGGGGGCAGTGGGTGTGGGCCAAGGGAGACCAAGGTAGTGGGGGTTATTAGTTCCTGTTGCTGCTGAAATGAATTGCTACAAATGTGGTGGCTGAAAACAACACAGATTTATCACTTTATGGTCTGGGACGTAAGAAGTTCAAAAATCTGTCTCAATGGGAGGACATTAAGGTGTGGGCAGGGCTGAATCCTTCCGGAGGCTCCAGGGGAGAATCTGTTCTTGCCTTTTCCAGCGCCTGGAGGCTGTCTGCATCCCTTGGCTCATGACTACTCACTCTTACCTCTGTTTCTGTACTAACATCTCTTTTTTTCCCTGGCACTCCCGCATCACTCTTATAAGGACACTTAAACTGAGCTCACCCAGATAATCCAGGAAAACCACCCTATCTCTAGATCCTCAATGTAGTCACCTCTGCAGCATAGTACTCTTGTGCCACCTGAGGTAGTATAGGCATAGGAACTAGGGTGAGGATGTGTGGACATCTTTGGGGTCATTATTCTGCAGACCACTGAGGGAACAGGGGAGAGATGCTTCCAGAAGTGGTATTTACCCCCAGATTTATGCGTCAGCAGGTGGGTGAACATGGAAACAGGGAGGTCACCTAAGAGGCTACTGGACTGGTCCAAGCAAGACAGGATGGTGGCCTGGACAAGGCCGGTGGCCATGGGTATAGTGAGAGGTGCAAGGGATTGAAATGACAGCAAGGAGGTTAAATGGATGGGAAATGCAGGCAAGGTTGAAAGAAAGCTGCCCTAGACAAGGCTCACCCTCCCAGTGTCAAAGACAAGTGGAAACTTGAACATACTGTCTTCAGGGAACATAATTCCCGGGGTGTAGATTCTAATTCTTAAATATCTCAGATATTTCAGAGTTGTATGTTCATGTAACTTAGAAGGAAATGTAACATGTAATGACTTTATTTGATCGAATTATATATATATATATGCTTATGCCACTAGTTATGATGTGCACTGACCACCAAGGGGGCAGATGCTCAACACAGGAGTGGAAACCACAGGCATGGAAACATAGAACAGACTGATGAATCTCAGAGGGAAGTGGGGAGGGGGTAAGGCAGGAAGACATTAACCAAAGATCTTATATACATACTAGAGGCCCAGTGAATGGATTTGTGCACCAGTGGGGTCCCTCAGCCTGGCCTGCAGGGATTGGGCCAAAACTGGCTCTCCAATATCCCTCAAGGAGTCCCGGATTGCGAGAGGGGACAGGCCAGGCCAAGAGACCCCCCCACCCCCTCCGCCAGTGCACATATTTGTGCACCAGGCCTCTAGTATACAATAAAGGCAGATGCTCAGGTTGGTTTCCAAAGAGAAGAGCAGATTTTGAGGCTCTGGGAGGAAAGGCTGATGTACAAACCTAGATTCCCCAAGGTGGTGATCCCTCCGGCCAGGTGTTGTCAGGGTCACTGGTGTTTCCCAAGGCAGAAACTGAGCAGTTTAGCTCTCAGGAGTGAGGTCGTTTGTCGCACTTAGGTAATGAGGTTTGTCATCTCCTAATACCTTATTTACACAAAGGTCAGGCAGCACCATGAAGGAGACCATAATAAGCATTAGTACAATAAAGGGAGAACAAACCCAAAGGGAAATGGCTGTTTTCTGAAATAGCATGTGCAACACCATCCTCAACTTCCTGCCATTCCAGAAAAGACCCCAGCTTCGCACATTTATTTCCAAGGTAATAAAATTGCTCTCACAGAGATGAGGAACCTTTGAGAATTCCATGTGTTTAGAAAACTGGGGGAAATTTCCTTTTCAGTGGCTTCTTATTAGAGGAAAATAGAAGAAAACTTTCATTATTAATAGGTCAGGAATAATTACATCTAAGTCATCACATTCTCTGTTGAGAGGAATGTTTAGGAGGCATTTTAGTATTCTTATATTTTTCAGGAAACCAAGTTAATTGGCATAAATATCACCCATTACTTCCTTCTTTCTCTATGGCCACCTTTCTTTTTCTTCGCCTTGAGTAGTCTTCAGAAACCAAACTTTCTTGACTGTGTCTCGTTTTTGACTCATCACCGTTGTAGACAGCTCCCCCTTCTTTTCTTTGTTTTGTGACGTCAGCCCTGGCTAACAGGGACTGTTAAACTTGCTGGTCGTTCACCTCCTCTCTGCTCTGCCCTCGGTATTTGGACAGAGTAGCTGGGTATCCATATCTCATTTATTTCCTCTCCACGTGGAACAATCTCTGTTTTTCCAATATGGTGATTTGATGTGTATCTTATATACTGTTTGAACAAGGAGAGAGGAGATGAAAAATAATGGGGACCAGACTTCAAATTTGGATACTTGTAGAAAAATAGAAGCATTTCAAATGCAATTAATAACTTAAAAAAAAAAAACTAGGACTGATCACATTCCCTAAATGCATCTTGGTGAGCCATCTTACTCCTCACACTTGAAAGCTGGCCTGAGGAAGACATCTGTGCTTAATTTCTGAGCAGTTTTGTGTTCTGTGCTTATAAATAAACTGTCTTTCCCTCTCCTCTCCCTGTTTCCCAGTGGCCGTTCCCGCAGCAGCGCCCCCAGTGTGCCAGCCCAAGGGTGCCACTAACGGGCACTACCCGGCCCCACGCCTGTCCATCTCCTCCCGAGCCACGGTGGTAGCCAGGATGGAAGGTGCCTCCCAGGGGGGCCTGCAGACCGTCATGAAGTGGAAAACCGTGGTTGCCATCTTCGTGGTGGTGGTGGTCTACCTTGTCACGGGTGGTCTCGTCTTCCGGGCTCTGGAGCAGCCCTTTGAGAGCAGCCAGAAGAATACCATCGCCTTGGAAAAGGCAGAATTCCTGCGGGACCACATCTGTGTGAGCCCACAGGAGCTGGAGACGTTGATCCAGGTGAGCAGGGTGGGAGTCAACCACAGAGCCACCTGTGGGGACAGAGGACAGCACCAATTTTGTCTTTCTGGTTCTGGGATTACCTGCCTTTGGTTATGATGCTCCTAATGGCCGGAGAGGACCTCTCTGGGGAGGTGACCTTTGAGCCAAGACCTCAAAGAAACTGGAGAATAAGACAAGTGACAATGTGGGGGCAGAGGGGCCATACGCAATGGCCTGGATGTAGGAGCAGGCTGTGACCTGCATCACCTGCTTTTGGATGTGGTGACCAGAAGCAACAGCAGGCAAAAAGGCTGTGGGTTTCCAAATTCAAGTCCACCCATGTGCGCTGATTAACTTTCTGGTTCTGAAGTCCAAGTGAGACACTGGGGTAAGAGAGTGCCCTAGGAGCCAAAGAAAGAAGGCATTTTATTTTATTTTATTTTATTTTTAAATAAAAAATTTTTAATTGAATTTATTGGGGTGACATTAGTTAATAAAATTATATAGGTTTCAGGTATATAATTCGATAATAATTCACCTGTACATTATATTGTTTATTCACCACTCCATGTCAAGTCTCCTTCCATCACCATTTATTCCCCCTATACCCTCTTCTACCTCCCCCGCCCCTTTCCCTCTGGTAATCACTATGCTATTGTCTGTGTCTATGAGTTTTTTGTTTGTTTGTTTGTTTGTTTGTTTGTTTGTTGGCTTAATCCCTTCACCTTTTTCACCCCACAATTCCCCTCCCCTTTGACAGCTGCCAGTCTTTTCTCTATCTATGAGTCTGTTTCTGTTTTGTTTATTAGTTTATTTTGTTCATTAAATTCCACATAGGCCTGAAATCATGCGGTATTTGTCTTTCTCTGACCAGCTTATTACACTTAGCATAATACTCTCCTGGTCCCTCCATGCTGTCTCAAAGGGTAAGATGTTTTTTCTTTTTTATGGCTGAGTAGTATTCTATTGTGTAAATATGCCACAGCCTTTTATCCACTCATCTACTGATGGGCACTTGGGCTGCTTCCAAATCTGGGCTATTAATAACACTGCAATGAACATAGGAGGGGTCACATATTCTTCCAATTAGTGTGTCAGCTTTCTTTAGATATATTCCCAGAAGGTGAATCACTGGGTCAAGGCAGTTTCATTTTTAATTTTTTAAAGAACCTCCACACTGTTTTCTACAGTGGCTGTATCAGCCTGCATTCCCACCAACAGTGTATGAGGGTTTCTTTTTCTTCACATCTTTCCAGCATTTGTTTGTTGATTG